ACACACACACACACACACATTTTCCTTCCTTCTCTCTTTCCAACTTCTTTTGTTGCAATATTTCCCTCTCATTTCGATATTTTGCCTGAATGTTCCGTTTCACCCGTGTCATAAGGTTCCCATCTGGGCCGTTCGCCATCATGGCCACGAATAGCACAGATTTGCAGCCTATCACGAAGAATTAAGATCAGCTGCAAACTGGGTCATTCGTGCGCCCATGGACGGACCAGATGTGCAGAAAATATGATTTTCTTTGTGACTGGTTAATGATCTGGGCCGTCCTTTGGCACAAGGCCCAGATTCGACACACACGTGAATTGTTGGTGATCGGCCTCGAATCTGGGCCGCCCGTTTGTGTGAGCGGCCCAGATTGCCTGTCACATGTGGGAGGGCACTACCAGCTGTGTGGCTCACTTTTTGTCGTGCCGTGAGGGGGGCAAACATCCAAACGTTTGAATATAAGCTCAAAGCAAATCCGCTAAACGTTTGAATACAAATGCAAAGCGAATCCGCAATACTCACGAAATGAGAAAACTGAGACCAAATCTTCAGGTGGTACATGCCGAGAGAGACTTTTTCGTTGCTGGGCGCTACACAGGAATGTTGGAATACAAGTACATGTCAAAACTCGACTACGTGCCTCACCAGATGAGTAAACACAAGTACATGGCAAACTCAAACTACGTGCCTCACCAGACAAGGGAAATGATAATGAATCTTCAGCTAGAACATGGAAAGATATGCTGCCATATTTTTCTGTCTTTTGTGAATGAGCTGCGCAGTGGAGCGAGAGCCCATGCTCCGAATAATGTCCCAATACAAGTGCATAGCCAGCCACACGAATGTTCGAATGTTCGACTATGTGCCTCACCAGATGACGAAAATAATAATGGACTGTGTCTTCCTGTGTTCTGGTGGAAGATTCATTCTCATTTTGCATCTTTGGTGAGTAGTGGAGCGAGGCCCCAAGTACATAGCAGCCCGGGGATGTGCAAACAATACCATGAACATGGCCAGACGAACAAGTACACCGGAGCCTGGCCCGGATGGGAGGAAGGCCCGCAGGTTAGGCCACGCCCATATGGTGCTACCTTGCCATGGCAAGAGATGAACTGTGTCTAGTGTTTTTTTTTTTTTTTTTTTTTTTTTTTT